AGAGACGATCCGAAACAATCAAGAACGCGTCGATCCCAAGAATTGGGCATTTCGAGAACCAGTTTGCTCCGCATTCTCCACAAGGATTTGAATGTACACGCCTACGAGATCCAATTGACGCAAGAGCTCCGTCAGGCCGACCATTTTTCGCGCCGAACGTTCTCAGATTGGCTCCTTGAACACCGCCAAATTGATGCCAATTTATCATCAAAAATCATGTTCAGCGACGTAGCGCATTTCACTTTGAATGGGACGGTAAACAAGCAAAACTGCCGCATCTGGGCGAACGAAAATCCCCGTGAGTATCACGAGGAGCCGAGCATCCTCAAAAAGTGACTGTGTGGTGTGCATTGTGGTCAAAAGGCATCATCAGACCTTACTTTTTCGAAAATGCGGCCGGGGACGCCGTTATCGTCAATTCTGAGCGATATCACGTGATGATATAGGACTACTTTTTCCCCGCAAGTTGAAGGAATGGATATGGACGATGTTTATTTCCAACAAGACGGTGCAACATGCCACACAACCAACGTCAATATCCATCGATTGCAGTCCTTCTTCGGTGATCGCGTGATTTCGCGCAGAGGAAATGTGCCATGGCCACCAAGATCATGCGATTTGACTCCCTTGGACTTCTTTTTATGGGGATATTTGAAAAGCAAAGTCTACGTCGACAAACCAGCCACCCTCCAAGAACTCAAAAACAACATCATTGCCGAGATAAATGCCACAGAACCGACAATGTTGCAAAATGTCATTGAAAATTTCGACCATCGCGTGGACGTCTGTAAATCCAGTCGTGGTGAACATTTGAGCGATATTATTTTTCATACATAAATGGTATGAATGAACTTCAAAATAAAGTATCCAACTTGATTTGAATATCAATCTTTCTTGTTTTAATATGCGTTTACTTTCCTGCGTCCGTTTTGTACAACCCCATATAAAAACGCTTAACTTTGGCTGCCAACTAGTCCGCCATTTTGAAAGACTGTGATTTTAAAAATAAGAATAAGGTACCAGATGTCCCCACATTCCTTTCAAAAAAATGTTACAAGATGACGCCTAGCCGTCGGCTTGAAATTCTGACTATTATGTTAAAATAGTATTCATTCTTCAATTTCACCATCCCAAATTTGGAACGTACCTATAATTTGATAGGCATAAATATGCACGGAATCATGATATGTATGACTTACGTGTCAGGATGGAACGATTGTATTCGACTCAAAGGCCCAGGCGGAAGTACCAGCCAAGATCTTTGCTGCCAACTCCACCATGGGTTCCCTACACTTTGCAGGAGGTAACATTCAGGCATAAGACCGTAAGACGAGTGCTCTTGTCGCTCGACATCAACAAAGCTTCAGGTCCGGACTTGATTCCTGCCATTGTACTGAAGAGGTGTGCAGCGGAGCTTGCTCCAGTTCTTTCGCGTCTCTTCCAGATATCTTATGAATCCGGCACCTTCCCAGAAAACTGGAAACCGACCCTTACAACTACACGCCTATAGCGCTGCTTTCTGTTATAAGTAAGGTGATGGAGAGGTGCATAAATCGCGAGCTTCTGTACTACCTCGAACAACTTGATTAGCGACAGGCAGTATGGTTTCCGGCACCAACGATCCACAGGGGACCTCCTAGCTTACGTCACGCAATTGTGGAGAAAACTCATCCAGTCTTATGGTGAGGTCCATGTCGTTGCTCTTCCACCCTATGGCCTCCCAGAAAATCTTTGCAGATGGGTGGCTGACTTTATCTCTGGCCGCAAGATATCCGTCGTACGAATAATTGACGGGGTCTCCTCTTCATCCCACGTCAACGCGGGTGTTCCCCAGGGATCAGTCTTGGCTCCGACACTGTTTCTCTTACATATCAACGACCTCCTTTCCTGCACGATCAACCCAATCCACAGCTTCGCTGATGATAGCGCTCTACATGCAGGAATTCAGAGTAACAAGCCGATCTTTGCCGCTGAGCTGGAAAAAGAAGGCTAGAGACGACATCCTCTCTGACAAGAGACCTGGAGGCTATCACTGCTTGGGGACGCAATAATCTTGTACAGTTCAATGCTTCCAAAACACAGTACTGTACTTTGACGGACAAAAAGCGTCCTAGCGCTCATCCGGTTTCGATGGATGGCCGAGTTCTGTCAAAGAGCCATTCATTTCGGCTGGTCGGAGTCCAGATCACCGAGGACCTGATCTGGCACGAACACATCTCTTCAGTAGCTGCAGCTGCTGGGAAATAGCTAGGCTATTTTTTTAGGGCTAAGAAGTACTTTTCTCCGCATGACCTTCTCACTCTATACAAGGCCCAGATAAGGCCTAGCCTCGAGTATTGCTGACACGTTTGGGGTGCTGCCGCCTCGACTACATTGTCCATGCTCGATGCTGTCCAGAGGAGGGCGGTCCGACTGATCGATGACTCTTCTCTAACAGACAGTCTCGGGACTCTTTCGCACCGGCGGGCCGTCGGCGATCTAGGTCTTTTCTACCGCTACACCTACGAGCTTTGCTCCTCGGAGCTCTCTTCCATGATACCGCCGCGCGACGTGCCTGCCAGACAGACCCGCCTAACTTTGGCGTCCCATCCTAACCGTGTCGAGCTTCGTACATCCAGAACTAGGCGATACGACCGCTTCTTTGTCCCGAGAGTGTCGAGACTGTGGAACAATCTACAAGAGGAAGCTTTTCCCAGTTCTACTAACCTTAGGCAGTTCAAAAATCGTATTAACAAATTTTCTTTGGGATCATCATGGTAGCCGCAGTGGTCCGGCATTTAGGCTTCTGCCTGCGCGGCTGCTTCGATATAAAAAAAAAGATTTTAATGTGTGAACGTTCCTTTAGCTTTTCATCTGGTGTGTGGCTGCAGTAACGGCGAGATTTGGATATTAGAGCCCGTACTGTTAACTCCAAAGGTAGCGACTCCATTCAGACCTTCAAATCATGCCGTGAAGAAGATAGAATTCTCCGTTCTACCACCTCAGTTTGCTTATTATGTAAGGATCATCACATAATTATGATATTATATCTCTTGTTAATATCACGCATCCACTGTTCTGCGTTATACACTCTAAAAAGATTTTAGTGAGGTTCAATTGATTTTGCAAGGTGTTCAATGGGGGTCAAACCCTAACACCCAAACCTTAACCCTTACGGTTTTTTTCTGAAAATGGTCAGGGGCCCCTGGAACGTCAAGAAACGGTTCTAGACCGATTTTCAAAAACTGCAACGCTTTTCCGTATTTGGTATAGCTGTAACCCTGTGTGAAAATTTCATCAAAATCCGACCGGTACTTTCCAAGTTAGATACGGGCCAAGAATTAGCGGACAGACAGACCGACTGAGCGACGAAAAATAGTGACATGGGTTTTCGTGATGTCATATAACATCCAAAAACCATATCTGGCTTTTGAAACTTTTCGCGATAACAATACGTCCTCGCAGGTAGGCGTGGGAAGTAAAACTGTAGAGCCATTGGGATAAAAGGTCCTCTTCAGGGGAGGAGTCAATTTCTTATGCTTTTGGCATATTCTCTTACTGTAGATGACCGATTTTTCCTTTTTCAGGACTCCGAAAGGACGGTAGTTCTATTTAACTACGACGTATCCAAGAACGAATGGGTATATGCAGGAAGGATTCGGTCTCACTATGAAGATATCACAGATATCATGTTCTTGCCTACAAAGACTTCATCATGTTTGGTAACAATCGGAAAGGACAGAAACATGTTGGAGTATAACAACGCCGCCAATCATAAGTATGATTCGTACTAGGAAGGACTCTTCAAAAGTGTAGCAAATTAAAGAGCCTGGCAGAAAACATGACCTTCGAGAATTGTTTTCCAAGGATCTTGTAGATCTCAAGTGATACAGGAAATAGAATAATCAGTAAAAATCATTCATGTCGACTCATAAATAAATTTTGGAATTTAAGCATTTACGGTATCTCTAGACTTCGCCAATATTGTGTACACCTCGATTTATATGTTCTTAAGGTCATCCCACAAAGAGCAGGTGAAGGTTAGGGTTAAGAAGTCTCTCTTCCTCCCATCGCATCCCACGCATGTTCGGTTGAGGTTGATTTGACCGTTATTGAGGTAGTCTACAAAGTAATATATACAAATATGGGGACAGCGATTATTTTGTTGGAAATATGGTTCTCCAGCTACTGGAGTAGAAGACGGGAGTCTTGAAATTTCCTGGATACACCATGACACCACTATACGCCCTCTAATGCAAACCCAGAGTGACAGTATTACATGTAGTGGCACCTCCAACGATGACTCCTGCAGTATGGTGCAAGTGACATTCAACTGGTACCTCTACATTGTTAATCCATGCACAGTCAACAGGTTCAAGAATCGTTTCGATAGATGGCTGCAAGACGAACTCTGGTTTGCTTATGACATGATCTCTATTTTTTCCTACGTTTAATTTCTTATCTCTATTTCGAGTTTACTCGGTATATCCATGATATACTGGAATCCCATTTTTTTCCTGAAATCCCTATTTTATTAGAAGACAATGCCGGTCCCTATATTACTAGAGCTATAATAGGCTACCCCAATAACGCTCAAGTCAGCCTCCTTCTTTGGACACCTAGATGTCGATGTTCTTCATCCACTGAGCATCTGTGTGATATGATGGGAAGAAAAGTGATATCTTTAATTTATCTCGCACAAGCTTTAACGGAATCAAGTACAGCTAGCTTGGGATTATATAGAAGAAGACATAAATCATTTCCTCAGAAGCATGTCATTGTGAACGGCATTGGGGCGGCCCAGCTCATTTTTTATGGAAAGCCAGCGATGCAGCAAGTGTTTTCGCTTCAAAGTTCAGTCAGTACCCCCTGTTGCTCATGTCTAGCTGTATACAAAACTTAATTCAACTATAATCATTTTTACTGGGTGTTATATTTTCTTTGTGACTGCGAACATCATATCAACACACAGACCAAAAATGCATGTGGGTCTAGTAAACAACTTGATAAAAGTAAAAAATGGGTGCCAGTGGGATTCGAACTCGCATCTCCTCCATTCCATGGAGCCGACCTAACCAGTTAGTCTACAACACCAGCTGCCAACCAACTTTCCGCCATTATTTCCTTCTTCGTTCAAGCTGCTTGATGCCCCATCTGGCAGCGTTTAAGTGAAATAAACCGGATTCCTCTAATCCTAATCGCTTTCTAGTTGCACCACGCCGCCTCGTAGACACTTACCACGCTACCACCGTGAGAGGACAATAACCATAACCAATAACCAATTTTTCCTTTCTCTCAAGTTATTGCATACTAAACATAGTCGCTGTTGCGGACATGCTCATCCGAATAATCGTTTTCAAGTTGCCTGTAGGGTATTACACAAGTATTTTTCGAGATGAGGAGCCTGAAGGCTAGATTCATGCCAAAGGCTGTTATAGCCTACAAATTTCAAGATTCATCATGATAACCTCTTGTAATGATCATAAGTAAAATATTTTACGGTGCTTTTAGAGATGAAGAGTTTGGTATAGTCTCTACAACTCGTATAGAACAGTCTGCCATACCAAATTGTTTCATGCACTGGACGGAAATGAAACAGAATGTTAGACAAGACTACTTGATCATTTCCAACAATCAGGTAAAAGTCGGGAGCAGGCTTTTTGTTATTTAACGGATATGTCCTTGATATTCGTCGAATTCTTTGTTTGTTTGTTCAAGATTTATTTAGTATGATTGCTACAATTGCATTCTTTTAAAAAAATAAAACGATTACATCACATACAGATATTTAGGAAAAACTAAATTTGCATCTCTAAGAATTTTCACTGTCCATGAAATATTCCATTAATTTTCTTTTAAATATCTTTAAATTACAAGTAGACTTTATATCATTATTTAGTATATTAAATTCAAGTTATCCTTTCTAAAATATTGATTTGCTAGTTATCGCAATTTTGCAGTTTTGCAATTTTGTAAATGAAAATCTATACCTATTTCCTCTTGTATAATAATTGTGGTAATGATTATTCAATTCTATGTAGTGTTCTAAATGTTGTGACAAAAGATGATTTTTTATTTTTAATATAAAAATAAGAGCCAAATATGATATGAATTTTTTTATATTCAACCACTTCAATTTGTAAAATTTTTGTAATATGTATAGGGGACGTCCGGGAGATGACCCGTTTCCTACCTGAGAGCACAGGAATTTATGTAAAATGAACCTACTGCCATGATTAAAACTGGATACCAAAGCACACTGTGGGATCTGCGTTACTTAAAGGCTTACGAGGAGTGTTCAGAAAATAACAAGAATTTTGATGAAAAAATTTTACCTCATTCGTCTGAATTAACGTTATCGCCTTCAAAATAGTCCCCATTTGATATTACGCACTTGTGCCAGCACTTCTTCCAATCCTCGAAACACTTCTCAAACTTCATCCTCGGGATAGCATTTAGCTCCTTCAAGAATGCGCTTTTAACGTCATCAATCCTTGTAAAACGACGGTCCTTTAAGGTTACCTTTATTTTTCGAAATAGGAAAAATTCACACGCAGTCATGTCTTTCTAATATGGAGGAAAGTATTGTTGTTGGCCAAAAATTTACGAACATTGATCGTTTAACGTCGTGGAAAAAGAATTCACGATGTACTAGAATGCTTCCACTGGGACGATTGAGCCTTCGTTTTGACGTCACATCCGACTCGTTACCTGTTATAACACGTTGCAGTAATTCTGCATCGACATGGAGTTCATCTAGTGACCTCTGAACAACTTCCGTCTGCTGTTGTTTTTGTTCAAAATTCGACAATTTTGGAACAAATTTTGCTATCACGTCTTTCATACCCATAATACGGTATAAGTGACATTTTGTCGTTTTTTTTTTTACACAACGTGTTTTTCTACAAGATGTCAACTTAGCATTAGCTGTTGTACACTTCTTGTGAACTAGTTTTGTAGCTGTACGTGTTGCCTAAACGTCATGATGCTTTAGCTATCAATGATTGGCTCTGATGTAATGTAACATCTGCTTCAGAGTTGGCATTATTAAAGGTCTAAGCTGTAAATTATATACTATAGCTGGGAAGAAACGACAGTGTATAGATGCATAGTGAGGATTTGTGTGCTAATAATCTGTGTTGGTGATAATTCCATTGGTTTCTTGTCTCAAACACACTTGAGATGTTTGCAACGCAGAGCCAAACATTGGTAGCTGAAGCATCCTGACATTTACATAACACGTACTTCTACGAAACGAGTACACGTCAAGTGTACAACAGTTAGATCTAAGTTGACATATTTTAGAAAACCTACATAATGTCACTAAAACCTATATAAAGTCAATAAGAAAACAACAGAACGTCACGTTTCAAGATACGTAATACCCCTGCCGGACTCCCCCTATATGATTTAGCGCCGTATCGTCAGTCGTTCCTTCAATTATAGGATGCCTTTATAGCCTCTTTGATTTTCATAGTTTTTCCAGTCCCTCAGAAAGGCGCTCTCTTTGAGGTTATGTTACAAATATCTATTTGCATCAAATTTTTGATTTTTATCATCTGTTTTATAAGCCTGAAATTCCCTACCATTCAAAAAGGAAACATAGCCTCACAATGAGGGAGCGCTGACTCTGACACGCAACAGTAGAAATCTAAAAATACCTCTTTTCTGAAGGAAAGAAAAAACTGAAAATCAAGGAGGCCATAAACGACTGATGATACTGAATTTAATCTTTGGTCTCTTTCAGAATAAATTCAAATTCTTATGCACCAACACCAAAGTGGCAAAAAGTACGGTACTAGGACCAGCTTTTGGATGTTTCAGAAGACAAATCATCAAAAAAATGAAGGTGTGAGCCAACATTTTCTGATAATTATGTTTATATAAAGTGGCTAAGTGTGTAGTTCGGTATTCTTCTTCATGTTTGCCTATGATTGTTATTATTCTACTTAGATCTTACCTCGCTGCAATTCCGGGTTCATGGTATTCTGCACCAAGAAGCATTTAGGACTCCATTTATTACCACCAGATGGAAATCCTTATAAATATGTTGGGTACTTAGCTCATCCTGTCAACGTAAGTATCTACTTATTATTACGCGACTGCCTCAGAAGGACCGTAATTTTTTTCTCACGCGAGTATGTATGAATCCATGTATCCAAAACAAATTTACCGGCTGCAAGCCTAACAACTTGATGGATTTTGACACACATTAGAATTAGAAAAAATGGTGGATTTTCATTAAACACTTTAAGCCTGAAAATCCTATAGCAGAGACTAAAGGGCGTGATGAGTTATGGCGTATGAAATTGGCGTGAAAGCACAATTAAAAATTCATTATTTTCAGTTAGTAACAAAGTCAACTCAGGATGCACTTATTTAGTTAACAATCAAAATATACAAGTACATTGATAGTAATAAGCCAACAGCATGCACTTTTGTAGATTTAGCCAAAACATTCGATAGCATTACGTATGAAAAATAATTGAAAACCATGGAAAATTTAGGATTTCGTGGAGTCACTCATGAAAAGTTATTTGGTGGATAGAAAACAATGTATGAACATTAACAGTACACTAAGTGAAAATATGACACTTAGTTGTACAGTTTCACAAGAAATCGTATTATATATGATGTATATTAATGACCTTCATGAGTTGAGAAATTACTCTGTTGACGTTCATTTAGACAAAGATTGGGCTTCTTTAAAAAACAAAATGATATTGGATATACGAGTATATATATATATATATATATATATACGTATATATATATTCACGGGAAGGATTTTAACAGTCCAAATTAAAACGTTGAATAGCTACAACAACATATAATCAGTTGATAATTTGAAATTTCATAGATAACCACGCAACACGTGGAATATTTGATAAAAAATTAAGATACGTCGTTACAGAGATCAAACATTTCAGCACTTTTTTTAACAAAAAAATATCTACACCTGACATATCATGCTTTGTTCAATCACTACTATCTTATGGAATCTTAGCATGGAGTGGAGTCATGAATAATTATTATAAAAAAATGGAATTACGCAAAAGTGGATTATGTTAAACAAAAGGACAGGTTATCCTACAGAAAATATTTACAGCGAATCTTAGCTTTTCGACTGCCGACAGATATATTTTTATCAGACAATAATTAACAAAAGATTCAAAATTGTTACATTTCATTAGCCACAATCATCAAATGGGATCCAAAGAAACATCTGCACTGCTACTTTCTAGGCTCAAAATTTTATAATATTGTTCATTCAAACTTGATAATTGATAAATTAATACAATTTTATACATGTGACTAGTATACTTATAGGAAATTTGTTGTGTTTAATTCATAAGTCCAGCTCAAACCCAAGCACACTTGTACACTTACCGATATCGTGTGTTTATTGAATACTACCGGTACTACAGGCAAGCTTTTAGTTTTTTCTTGAAATGTACTTGTTATGTTTTATAATGTATTGAATTAATCATATATTTTTCAGTTAGTTGACTTCGCTGTGTCCAACGATGGTTGTCAAATCTTCACATTTGGTCAAAACGATCACTGTATCCACAAATGGGAAATCAGATACAGGTATTTTAGATATGTACAAAAAAAACCATTAAAAAATTTTAAAACATACTAAGCCTAAAGCTTATGGATTGAGCGGAAGTTAGCTGCTAGCACCAAACTTTTATTTTCATGGGTAGTATTTTGGAAATATTTGATTTCACAATCAGCAACTAATCAAACTCAACAATTTTGTTGTTAGCTACCGACCGTGATCACATTTTTTATCAAATAACAAAACAAAATCAGTATGGACGCCAGCAGGAAAGTATCTAGTCACTTCCAAAACGCATCTGCACGCAGAAAGTAGCACTTTTCCGCATGCATAACAGTGCAACTTTCTGCACGCAGATGCGTGGAAAGATCTTATACCTAACACTTCCGGAAAGTGTATTTTCCGCACTTGTTAGACAAATAACTAAGATTACCAGGAAGACAAGTCGTCAAAATCCCAAATATAGTCCGAAAAAGCATGATAAAATAGACAAATTTCATAGGGCAACTAGATATTGACCCCCCTTGAC